TACCCCCTTGAACAACTTGCATCAATAAAACCAATTTTTACAATTATTTCGCAAACCAGTGGCATTTTCGTCTAATATGATTAGACTAAATATCAAATGATGGCCCTGGATTTGAAATTAAAAAATGTCGACCCCAGCCTAACTAGCGCCATCAACTTCTAGGCTTACAGATTACCCACATTTAAGAGACAAGTTTAATTAAAGCGACCGACAAACTTCCGTGGTATAGCTCCTCCTTCGTTTTTTAACACCTGCAAAAAAATCACAATTGAGTTCTGATGCACATTAATGACCTCTTTTTTTCGCGATAAATCTGATCCGCAACTTTGCGGATGACAGCACTTTGTAAGCAAGCATTCACAGTTCTGCAGTTTACGTTTGATAGGGGAAGACTGATGGTGACTGTCTGCCAGTGGACGTGATATTTTGTTGCATTTTATTGCTTCTAAAGCAACTATTTTCTGGAGTGTCGAAAATGAGGAACTATCTGCCTAAAGACTTCTCCGTCCAACAAACCGTATATTGGGTAGCTCAAAAATCTGAATCCATGTACCATTCTCGATCATTTCCGTAGAAATCGATATTGTTCAAAAAATTAAAATATCTTTTCTATCAACGGTAGATCAACAAGTTTAGGATAAATAATAATAATAATAAATGGCCTTTAGTCGTCACATGATTACAAATAAATATAATGTATATCCAGTCAGCCTTGGTATTTCAATGGTTATCAATAGAAGCGAAATTGGTTAGTAATTTCGGAATGCTAAAGGTCAACTCCTGATTAATACCACTTAATGCTATGTTATCAAGTTTTTGTTGTGGATAATTTTGAGGCGTAACTGCATTCTTTCGAGCGACATTTTCAAAATATTAGAAAGTTTCATACTTCATACGTCCACCAAATCTATGATCATTTCAGCTATTACGAATACATTCATTCAAGGTTAAAAATGCTAATATTTGACAAATTTCCGTTTTGAAATCACAGTCAGATTTTCGTTAGGCGAGCTTGAGTATTTTTTGACTCGTTTTGACGTCGAACATTTGTTTTTCAACGGCCTGTTTGGAGGAGTATTCTTAATACTTTTTGTCTGCTTGTTGCATGATGTGTATAGAGATTGACAAACAATGTTTTCAATTGAATGGATCATTTCGAAATTCTGGGTATAAACCTCGTAAGTCAGTACATTCCTTCACCTTCAAATAACTCCATGTAATACACGTTCAGTGCGACAACATCGTAAGACCGGGGCTTATGTGGTTTTTGCAGGCACTCGACGGTACTTGTATGGGTCATTTAAAAAACAATACCAGCATCCCTGAATTGGTTTATGTTCATATTATTGTGCTATAAGGCCCCAAATTATCATTTTTAAATTCACTAACGAGAAAAATAAGATTGACGACTTTGCTCGAAACCACTTGTTTAAGAGTTTTCTTTTTTCCTAAAAAACTATTGACTCAATCCTTCTCATTTGTATGACCAAAAAGGTCCTTTAAATGTACGTTACGCTACAACACTTATCTTGCAACGTGATTTTTTTTTTGAAGAAATACATGTTTATGTCTGATAGTCAAATAAGTACCTGGGTTCTTCTACAACTGATTGCCGATTATTGAAGAACGTGACACGCCTTTTTTTAATAAATAAGAGGAAATGGTGATTCCTCTTCCCTTGTATTAAACTAATTAATGAATTAATAAATTAGTATAAATGAAATCTAAGGGTCGGCCAATGCAAAACAGCTGTCAAGTAGCGTGCAAATTTTGGCCCTAGCTCAATAACTCGGAGAGTAGGGGGGTTAAGAGCGCCAGTCACTCAAGACGGATTAAGTCACAAATCCCCGAGATGTTAGTCGGAACTTGTTTTGCTTGACCACCACACAAAGAACAGAATCTAACAGTAATGATGAAAAGTAATTAACTGTATACAGAGAGCCAAATAAAACAAGATATCTAAAAATGAATCACAATACAAGCCCCTTCCCACTTCAGTTGGCTCACTTCAAGATTTCTACCAAAATATGCCTTTATAAACTAAACATGTCGAAACTATTTACTTCTAAAACAATTTTTTTTCTCAAAAACATTTTAGATACATTCTAGTCGTAAAAAATACATATTTGTAATCACTTAGACCTATAACTAATAGAACATCTGAACAAATAAACAATGTGCGAATAAATGCGCGTAGTTAACAAAGCAACAATTGAAAGATTACCATTGGGTAACATCACCTTTATTTTTTATTACGGCTGAAATTCTTTGGGGCATAGTGTTAACCAAGTTTTGTCAAAAATTTGGTGTAAAACAATCCCATACTTCTTGAAGCTTTTGTCTCAGTTCGGTGATTGTACGAGCAGGATGTTGTCGTAGAACCTTTTTCATCTCGTGCCACAAAGTTTCAATATTTCAAAAGTGGTACATTATTTTCTTCCATCCATTTTATAGCCTTTTTTGAGGTATGGCACGCTGCACCATCTTGCTGAAACACAAAATCTTGGCCGGATGTCAAACATTCTTCCAACACTGGTAAAAGCGATTCTTGTAAAATTGCCAAATATTTGTTTGTATCCACATTTCCATCAATAAAATGAAATTTTCCTACTCCTTTTGATGACATACTGCCCCAGACCATAATGGATGCTGGAAATTTCACTTTTCTCTTCAGACAGTCAACATGGAATGCTTAATTTTTTTTGCGAATAACTCTACTGCGACTGTCACCAACACAAACTTCGAATCGGGCCTCATCACTCCATTGTATTGCATACCATTGTTGAGGTGTCCATTGTCTATGTTCTTTAGCCCATCTAAGCCGATTTTTCTTTTGCAGTGGAGTTAATAGTAACTTTTCTTTGGCCTATAAACAAATTGTGCAACTTTAGGGTTTTTACTTCTCTTTTTTATAAGAAAACTTACCTTGCAAGTGCTAAATTTCAGTTTGTGGGCCTCTCTATGAGTTGTGGACCTCTCTATGAGTTGTGGACCTCGAAATTCAACTTACAACAGCGTCACTCCACAGAGCACTTGATTGTAAATAATTGGCACGCCTGTTTTTCACGATTATTCTTGTGATATTACTTTTTTTCAGATATCGTGACTGATTATTAACTGAACCAGTTACGTTATATCTTCTAACAATATTTCTCACACTGTACCGCGATAAGTCTGTATATATTGCCAAAACAATCAGCACATATGCTCCGCCACTGGAATGCAAGTTAAAAGAAAAGATGTTATTAAAAACTACCTGACAATAAAATTAATAGACCATAATAATTAACCCTGCAAAACGTTTACCATGGTACACGTACGAAAGCTTTACAAATATAGGCCTTACAAATATTTCAACGCCTAAACCTAAACTTATCTGGATAATGGTCTTCTTCCAGTTACAGTTCTAGGTACAGCTGAGATGTCCACAGCTTACAAACACTCAGGTCAAAAATCAGTGGCCAGTAGTGAGCAGTGACGTTAGAAACTTCACTAGGTAGGGGTTGCTTGCCTCGTTTCCAAAATTTATGGTATAAAAAAACCCTAGAGAAAAAGACTGTTTACTATCTACTCTCTACTCTATGTCTGAGACAGAACTACACATTTAAAAGACTCAAAGTTGAAGAAAAATCCATGTACATTCTCTTTTACAAGAAAAATACTTTGCAAGAAAAGTTAAAAATTTACAAAAGTCATATACCCTCAGAAGGTTATCCCTTGTTGAAAGTTATAAAATTCAAAATCATGATTATTGTAATCTAATAAGCCCACTACACTATATGTGAATTCGTAAAATGCCAAACAAAATCAAGAACACTCTAAGAATTTCAGTCAGCAACAATCAATATATCAATATCTATAAAATACCCAATTAAAATGATATGTTACCTGTTCATCAGGGTTTTTATAAAAGGGAAGAGATGGCTTCCAAGAAAATCGGCTGCGAAACAGCTACAAGGCAGCTACAAAACAAAGGTGGAGTGTGAATGGTGGTTCTCCACAATGGCTTTCCACTAAAAGGAATCAGATATTGAACAAACTTCTTCAGGACAAGCATTAAAGAACGTATACAAAAGAGAACTTACCGCTGGAGGTTAAAATCCCATTACAAAATGGACGGGGTAGTACCCTAATCAACACAACTAAACGTAAGGTACAAGATAAAAGGGTACTACTCCAGAAACTGGTGCTTGGGGAGTTAGTATCCCAAAATCTAGAAGTTAACGAAAAAAAACGCCCGCATATAACCAAAATCACAGCGGAAAGCAAAAGTAAAATGGCGCTGGACGCGTCGGTACGCAATTAAAAGAAGGTATCTTGTTAGTAAATCACAGTCCAAAAGAAGGTAACTTGATAGTAAATCAAAATTTAACAGATGGTATCTTGATAGGAAAGTAAACAGAAGGTTAAAATGAATGGCCTTGAAGAAGGTATCTTGATAGAACCAAATGTCCCTATTCTGCTAGTACGTGTAAAGTCACAAGGTGGCGCGCTGGTTGCCACTGGGCAGAAACAAATCTACGAGGGACCAACAATATATTATGAGGAGATTTCTCAGATAGAAGAACGAGAATGACAGATATAATACGTGAGAAATTCTACAATCAATAAACTATGAAATTTGACAAAAGAAAATTATTAAAAAGGGTTTGGTCTAGGAATCGGCACTCTATAATCAATGAAGAGGAATTTAAAATACTCATAAGTGATCAAAACAGTAAAAAGAAAGGTTACGTGATTTTAGCACGTGACAAACGTTGAACGAATAAGTCTATGTACTTTTTCTATAATCATGGTTTAAATGGAAACCGAGTTTGCATAGGATTCCCACATGCACATTAAAAATATTAATTAGGCAGTTAAAAAATGGATGTTCAACACTAATGCTATACTTTAATTAAAACAAGTGCCATTATAAAAACAGTGGATATCTTAATTACATATGAAATATATTTCCAATAGGTTGATAGTTGATACAAGATCACCCATATACCCCACATTCACAATAATCTCTCCAGACATTGCGAGAATCCATCCCCCATCGAGAACAGTTCACTTTCCACAAAAGGTTTTGGTCTGAAAAATATGTCGGCCAACAAAATATTTTCTTTTTCCAAGGTTCTATCTTCCATAGGATACATAGAAACTGTCGACTTCACAGGCTTGTGTTGCAGCATGGCATGTTCGGATTTGAAATGGTCAGTTTGTGTACTACAATTGGTCACTTCCGGCTTTTTCGTACATTCTATCAATACTTTATTCAGCTCTTGGATGACAGATATCGCGTTTTTTAATTTTATCTTATATTCGCTAGATTTTTTCGCATTCTCTTGACTTTGCAATTCCAGTGTTTTATGAGTTTCTAGTAGTGACTTCAATTCGTTTTCGAGTATGTCTATTTTTTCTATATTTTTGCTTATTTCACTTTCGTTACCCTTCAGAAGTTGTTTTTGTTTTTCGCATTTTGCTTTTAATTCATTTATTTGGGTCATATACTTTTTTTGAGTCTGCATATATTTTTTGCCATTTTCTATAATTTCTTGCTTATTTATACTGACTTCATGTTGAAGTAAAACTATTTCTTTATCAAATTTGGTACTGCTTTCATTGATCATCCGTAACAAATCCTTGTTGTGTTTCTGCAAATCGGAGATTTTTGCTTTTAAATTGCTGTTTTCTATTTGCAAACTCGCATTTTCGTCTGAGATAATTTGAATTTCTGATAGCAGTCCTAAAGTATTTAGATTATCATCTGGTTGACTGGCAGTTTTTCCCGTTACGAATGATGGTCGAACTCGGGAATTTTTCACAATAGCTGGGGTCCAAAAAGGAGGCGACATTATTTGCAATTATTTGAAATTTGGAAAAGTTTGACAATACCTATGGTAATGACATTGAACAAAATTTATGTCGTGTAGTCATGTTCATTGTCAGAAACATGACAGAACAAGAGAGAATCCGTAACGTGCACGAGTTGTTGGGCTTATTTACTTCAAGTTCTGCGACGCTAGTGCCATCTGCTTCAGAAATGGCACACGCGCAGTCTCGTAAAATGTGGCGTCAAGTAAGTAGACTCCCCACTTCCCCACATGTTTAACAAAAAATTAAATGACCTTCCTGAGATAAATTCCTGCAGTCGCGCATAATCGCTGCGATGACCAATCCCGCGTGAATGACGTTATTAGTCTCTACCATGCACACAGCCCTCAGCAGCGCGGAAGTGAATGTCGACTGTGACGTACCACGATCGTTGGAGATATCTCTAAGTTTTAATGCTAAATGTAAGGGATATCTATGATAAGTGAAATATGCCTAATAATTGCGTAGAATTACTGGAGTTGGAGGCGTATAAATATACCAACGTCTGAAAATTGAGATATACGCAGTTCCACCCACTGCAACTACTAACCCCCAATTTGTACCCCCTACAAAAATGTTTACGAAAATGATCGGGATACTCTGAAACAAATTTTTATTATATTTTTTTTTTTTTTCGTTTTCGACATACGGAAATGAGTGACATGGTTTTTCGTGATGTACATGTCACATAAGAGCCAAAAAACGAAATGTATCAAACTGTTGACAATTTTTTGCGAGTGAAGCGCGTGTACTTATAGTATATATTTTAGAAGTTTTGTTTTAAAATATTTAAAACTCTTGCAAAACCAAATTTAAATTGAAACCTTATTTTGACATTACATTCTTGGAACATTTGTTTTTAATATCCTTTTCTGTTTTACCTATCACGAAAGAAAAGGTATGTGCTTTACAACATACATTTTTGTCTATAGGCAACACAACCCCACTGCTGCTCAATTTCGAAAAATTACTCGTCGTTGTTGGTTTACTTCTTACGCCACTGGGCAAGAAAATATTGTAATCGCGAAGAAGTTTCGAAAATGAGATATGTTGATATAATTATGTCTGCCTGTCTGTCCGCTAATTCTTGGCCCGCCTATAACTTGGAAAGTACTGCTCGGAAGAAGGTTACTACTATGCCAAAGACGAAAAGCTTTGTAGTTTGTGAAAATCGGTCCAGTGGCGGGGTTGAAAAATCCCAAAAAAAAAAATCGCTTATACTTCGATTGTTGCCGTTTCAGATGATCCTGAACATTTTTTGAAAAAAAAATAGGTATGATAAATTAGGGGGTGTGTGTGGAAGGGGGTGGGTGTATCTCATTTTTTCATTATTATATTCATACGGTCCCAGTAATTATACCAATAGCTATTTTTCACTCATCATATTATGATTCTCCATACATTTTTTGACATGCATCTCCTGTTACATGGGCTCAGCGCCCGGCGTAACGATCTACTTGATTGTTCTGCTCGTACTGCGGCGGCAGAGTTGCCACAACGCTGAATTACTGTCTTGAATTACACCGTATTACTGGCAATTACTGACAATCCGCTAAAGCCTAGAATATGGCTAGTATTAACCACCATAACCGTGTTGAACCTGTCAGATTATTTTATCTATGACAAATGACAACAATGCTATGCGATTTTACGTTTCATCAACGGTTTGTGAGAATTAAAAAAAACGCCCTGTAAGAAGGGTTTTGACAACATTGTCACATTTGCGAGCTAAGTTTTCTGAGATTTGTTGGCGAGAAAAAGTTGTTAAAAGATGGAAGTTGACCCAGGAGGATCAGCAGACAACGCAGTTCCACATACTATGAGGAAAGAGCTGAGCCTTAGCGGAAACCAAGCAGAACCAGGAAACATGAGCTCACTGATGCAGATGTCATCGGAGCAGAAAACGATCGAAAAACTGATGCTGATTATAGACGACCAGGCGAGGCAGATTCGAGACCTAATGGAGACCATCAAGGACCAGACAGCTAAAATTGACAGCCTGACCGCCCAGGTAACAATATTACTAAATTCAAAGGAATCCCCTAAAGAACGGACAAACCCTAAAAAGACCACTGAGAAACGTTACTGATGATCATCTCACATCCACAGACGAAGACGTACAGACCGAAGGATTTGTAAAAGCAAAATCTAGAAGGAGGAAAGGCGACAAGGCTGATCGATCAACCCAAGACTTTCCTCCCCTTCCGAATACAGGATCAATTTCACACCTCCCCCCAATTCATCAAATCGAAACACCATTAATGCTTCTACTACCAAGCCAGGGACCACGTTATCTACCTGTCAGGTGACTCCGTCAGCCGATGTTACTTCTCCTCCGTCATCTCGTCCAACCGTCGTGGCATCATCACAACCCTCACGACAAGGGCGCATAACCCCGATCGTCTTACGCGACGGAAATAGATCGCGCGGTTGCCGTCGATGCGGGAATAAGGATTATTCCTAAATCCGAAGACGACTACCGTAAGATCGTTCGCCTATTCCGAGAGGAAGAAGTGCCCCATCACACTTTTCCTCTCCCTTCGGAACGGAACAGCCATGCGGTGGTTCGAGGAGTTCCCGTCAACTTTTCGGATACTGAGATTAAGGGAGAACTGGAGCAGAGGGGATATAGCCCTCTCCACATCATTCGATTGAAGCGCAGCGGCGGCGCGCCCATGCCTTTGGTGGTCGTGATACTGCCCAAGACTGAAAAGTCTCAGCAAGTGTTCAACGAACACGAACTGCTGGGACTGGCCATTCGAGTTGAGGTTCAGAAGAACTCCATACTCATTGGGCAGTGTCACCGCTGCCAAAAATATGGGCATGCGCAGACATATTGCTCTGCACCGCCCAAATGCTTAAAATGTGCAAAGGACCACATGACGCATTTGTGCCCCCTCACAGAATAGGAAGAGCGCAAGTGCGCGAACTGTGGAGAGGGACATCCCGCAAATAGCCGGACTTGCAAGTACACTCCAAGGAGGAACGTGCAAGTTATAGCGCAAAGGCGCAATCTATCATACGCGGACGCAGCTAGGGAGGCACCCTTACCTGCCCCCTCTGCTCAACCTCCCTTAAGCAGGCTAAATGTGGACCTGGCAACCGCGCTAAGGTCCTTACAACAAATAATAAGCCCACTGATTAGCGCTACCCAAGCGTTGCAGGCGATATTTCCTGTAAATGTCTAGGTACAATAGTAGACAGCATTGCATTCATCAAAATTCTTTTTTGGAATTCTTTGGGCATGAGGGATATTCCCAAAAAAATGGGAATTTCATCAAGCTTTTTTGGATGAAGGTATAGATGTGGCCTTGCTGCAGGAAACGTTGCTTAATCCGGGAGATCGTTTAGCTCTCCCGAATTATGATGTTACTCGAGGTGACAGATTGAATGGTCGAGGCGGCGGTTTAGCAGTGTTGATTAAGCGCGGTATAGACTATTATAGAAGCACTAATGCGGAGATGCATAGCATCGGAGCAGCTTCTGTGGTGGGGTCAATATGGCGGGAGGTGAAGATTACATCGGTGTATGTCAGGTATGGTGCCAGGCTACAAGAGGCGGATCTGGAGGTCCTTTTGGACTACTCGGGTCCGCTTATTGTGGCAAGGGACTTCATCTGCAAACATCGAGCATGGAATTCTAGGTTGAATTCCACTAGTGGGGTTCGATTGTACAACCATGTGATGCGAAATTGGTACCTTATACATAGCACTGAAGAGCCGACACATCATCCATTCAACCATCTTCAGGCACCAGATGTCATCGACTTCGCGATATCTAAAAACTGTAGATACAGTATCTCTTCTCGAATCATGTATGAAATCTCTAGTGACCATCTACCTGTTGTCTTGAATGTGGGCAATGGGCAAACTTCAAGTTGCTCCTTAGAGAGTTTCCCAATATCCCGATTATAGATGATGAGTCTGGAATAGATGCCGCTCAACCGGAGTGGACAAGTTTCATTCAAGCAGCTCTACAGCGTGCAGCTGTACTTCCCGTACAACGACACGGTAGACCTTTTTTGCCTGCGGACATTCGTCAGAAAATCTCTGACAAAAGAGCCGCTACTAAGCAGGCAAAAAGGTCTTGTCATCCTGATGACATTCGTAGGGCTACAAATCTTGTCCATGAAGTGAGAAACGCACTGCACGAACTCCGCAACGAGCAATGGAGCGACTTTCTGGCTGGAATGCTTGATTCAAGTATTCCTCTCTGGAGGGTCGCAAAGTCACTCACAAACGGAAAGCGAGAACAACTCCCACACATCCACGGTCCTGAAGGCATAGTCTTCAGAACGGAGGATAACGTCGTGGTTTTCGCTGATGCCATGGAAAAACAGTTCTCTCCCAACTATGATCTCGATAATAACCTCGACGAGGAACAGCACATCGTACGATCCGTCAGGAGATATTTTAGGTGTAACGGCGTTAGCGGAGGTACTAAATCCTCTTCAGATGACTCTTCTTCAAAAGATTCGTCTGAGGCTCCACATAGCACATTAGCGGAACCCTCTGAGTTTCCACATTGCACACCAGCGGAGCTCCTAAGTCATATTAAAGACCTCAAGGTGCGTAAAGCACCTAGGGAGGATCAAATCACCAACAAGGCGTTGAAGCTGCTCTCGCCGAAAGCCCTGACAATAATCAATGCGACGCTCAGAATCTAGTACTTCCCTGCTGGGTGGAAGACTGCTGAGGTCATCATGATTCCAAAGAAGGTGGGTTCGATATTTCCTCAGGCTTACCGTCCCATAAGTCTGCTGTCAGCTCCTTCTAAGCTCGCCGAAAAGGTGATTTATCGTCACCTTGAGAATTTTTCGTCAAATCACCAGGTGATTCCTGATGTCCAATTCTGTTTTCGGTCCGAGCATAGCACCGAGCTACAGGCAATCAGGCTGGTGGAGCATGTAACCAAGTACTGGCATCTTGCTTTTGGATGTCTCAAAAGCCTTTGACAAGGTGTGGCACGCGGGCCTCCTCTA